AAAATAGAAACCGCTGGATTAAGTACCACAGTTGTGGTACCAGCAGTTTATTCGTTAGCGGCTTCTAGGGTCAACTTAGAAGCTGTAATATTACATCCGAATTCGATAACGCTTTGTTTGGGCCTGGGAGATATCTTCGCAGACTACTATTCACAGAAAATTGCTATCGTAAATAGACTGCAGCAGTGTCCTATCACTAATATATAGTTTTTGATTGTCGGGGGAAGCTAGATGCTAATGCCAACCCGGTTACGTACTGAAAAATGGCGGACACAACAAACGGAACTTCGCAGCATATAATGAATACGATGCCGATGAGACAAGCTCGAGCGGAGAACGAGCTCACGTATTGTGATGCAAATGTTGTTCTCTGGGTTTCGGGCACGAGTCCAAAGTGGATAGATTTTAGAGGGTATGTGTGTTTAAAAAGACACAACGCTGCATAATTATTGCGGCCAATTGATTAAAATGATTCGTTTTTTCGAAAGTTTTATGGACCCAGCATGTTTTGTTATGTTGCACTAGCAGATTTTTGATTGATATATATATGTATTAAGCGCATGTATATATAAAATGCTGTTTAATACTTCAGGCGCCATCGGGTAATCGCTCTATACAACAGCGGAACTGAATTCATAGGGTGTGCTCATAGACAAGAATGCTTTACTCAATGACAACAAAAAACACACGACATCAAATTGTGTTTCAAGTATTTTATATGTGTGTATTTCCTGGTTCATCGTTAACTTATTACGTCGTTGTTATTATTATTGTTTTTTGATAATTTGATTCGTCACGATCATTCATTCGAATGAATGAATGTGAGTCTGTGACGATAAAGCTTCCACAAAGTAATGCTGCTGAATTTCCTCAGGTTTTTCTTATTCAGGTTTTGTAACGGGCTCTGGACTACCTGAAATGTGTTCAAGCCGAAAATGAGTATGCGGTTTGATAGGTATCACAATAACGTTAAATAGCCGTCATTATCAGATTGGCGTTTGAGATGAGGCTTCTCGTTTGTTTTCTATTAGACCATGTCATACCTGTTCGCACACGCTAAACGTAGGGTAACTGATGTTTTACACAACTATAAAGAATAGAAGGTTTTACCTACGTACATTAAATGAGTCTTAGCTAGTTATAGCTACATCGTCACTTTTGTGGGCGCTTTTGGTAAGCGTCGTATATAACTCTTACGAAAATCATTTTTAGAACATTGCAACTGCGACCGGGCTTCACTGAGCAAGGTTAGGCTAGCAGGTCTTTGTCACGGTCGAGGTCGGCTAACCTACAATCAGGTTTTGCGAATGTTCCATGCGCATTCTAACTGAGCTTATTTATCCATTCATTTGTATAGTGTATTAAAGTCGTTCTCATTTACTTCCATTACTGAGGCATTGTTCCATTCGGAGTCAACTTCCAATCGGATCGACTAATCGAATTACTCGGAATCAATTTACTATGTTCGGAAAATGGGCAAAATTCAGCTATTCTTAAGGCGTAACGAACTGGAAAAAATTCTAGTAGATTCATCTGCAGATGTCTTGTGATGCGTTTAAAGTTAGTCATGGTTTCATTCGCCGAGTAGTGGCCGTTCTGAAAATAACATCGTGAATATAATATTAGCGACAGAACGATGGCTCTAGTGAATGGTATATTACTATCAACTCATAATGTTGTTCGTAGAATTATTAGATTGTGGCGTCGTATCAAAGTCGTTCGATTCATCAATTTCGTTTATGGCCGATGAGGAGACATTCCGTTACTAGAATGACGACTTGATCCGACCGGGCTTAGGTGGATCCTACGTAAAATTGCGCGGGCTCGTTCCGTTGGAAGGTTCTTAGTGGAGTAAGTGAGTCAACATTTCAACTTTAGTTTGAACGGCCTTACCAGTACAAGTAGAAGAGGTTAGGGCTAATTAATGGTGACGGCAACGGAAGCATCAGGACTTCAGCGAAGCACGACAGACGGACGTCACCTTCCTTCTAGAAAAGCACAACTAGGACTGTAACCTGACTCAACAGTAAACCAGTTCGTGCTTTTCTAGCTTCGATAGGGTAGAACTCGACTTTGATTGGGTGCTTCCAGATAGCCGCACTGTTGTTTATCGTCGAGATCTGCGTCTCGTTCTTTCAGCATGTTGCAGTACAGCATATAGAATTAATTCATCCAGCCTAGCCCTATGAGGATCGTACCATTGGCGACACTTAGAACATGTTCTGCTTTTTTCGTTGCCTCGTTTTGATTGGCTATCTATAGAAAATTATAATAAAATTATTACCATCATAATAGTTATTACTGTTATTATCACGGGGTCTGTTTGAAAAAGACAACGTAGCGGCAGAAGTTTCGAAGTGTTCCACTGAAATAAAGGAATAGGTAAGTAAAGGACAAATGCGTTATGCTCGTTGCTGTTCGCTACTGGGGCTTGTTCCGCGAGCCCCAAAAACAACAGACTAGATGTCAGTTGTGAGTTTGGTTATGTTAATAATAACGATGATGGCGAGGTTTGTTCCCTAGGAAATTGGATGGAGTAGAAAAGTAGTCTTGAGGGTTTGAAGCTCTACGCATCGAACTGTCGCCGGACATTATTTTACCTATCTACTTCACGTGGAAGATTGTCGGCCCTGTAAAGATTACAATTACACAACAGAAATTGGTAACAATAACAGTCTTGCCGAGACGAAACCTAAGCGACGAATAATTATGACGCCGCATTGCTTTACCCATACGAAGATACTTCCCCTTTTATTTTACACCAAACGATAGAAAAAATTATTTTCTTGCTCTTAGAAAACTCGCAGACTGCTTTAATTTTTCTTTCGTCTTCTTATTCTAATTAAACCCTTTGTGCTGTCCTCATGAGTAAGTTAGGCCAACCTATAATACTGATAGAATACAGTTCAACTTACAGAAAATAATTGAATCAAACCGCCTTCTACGTAGCTAGTAGCTGTTTTAGTACATACAAAGGGTTACGTCTGAAGGAAAAAACAAACGTTCAAACTCGATCTAAATATGCCAACAGACTTGCTCCTCTGAATAGTAAGGTTTGCTACTTGTGTACCAGGGTCGCCTATTTCCAAAAAAAGTTTGATTTATGTATAGATAAAACATTTCTTTTTTTTCTGTGAGTGGATGGTTTAAGTGTGTATAAAGAGCTAGCTTAAATGCTCAGACATGACTAGAAAAAACGTAAATAGAATTAAGCAGCGTGAGATTCTATGCACTTTTCTCTTAGAATAAATCATCTTTGTGATGCTTCCTTTCTACACAAGATGTCAGTCGAACCGAAACCGTGACAAAGACTGTTACTCTTGTTGGCACCAAACGCTGACGTATCGTCGCGTGATAACTATTCATCCTATTATATTGACGTATTTTTCACCGCCGCGCCTGAGCTTCGTGTGTCCAGTTGAACTATATAGCGTTATAGCTAGCCCACTTACAAATGTAAAGCAGCTTGCAACATATCAAATATTTAAAATACTCCTGATGCATAATATAACGTCATTCGTTTATCTTCGTAGACTCATTATCACGTCATGTAGCGCTATTTTTGTATATTTATTGATAGATCGTTAAGTGTCTCTTCAAGATCACGCTCGTTTAAGATGGAGCACGCATTTGGTCTTTACCTTTTAAGATGACCCTGCTGATTTAACTAGTAAGATTACATGATTCTTCAAGACTCACTGATCGTTAGTCTTAACAGAATAGGTAGCCTATCTTCGTTTAACATCGGAGATGTAAATTTGTACTCGAACTATGCTCACATAAGGCGCCGGAAACTCAATCCATACCGAACTCGCGAATATTCCAGTGCTAGTTACCGTTCTTAACTTCTTGAGCCTTTAACGTTATTGTTTGATGCTGCATAAAGAAATATATAACTATATAGATTGCCTTCAGACACTCGTTCCAATGAGCTGACATCTGTGACGTTTCAAAAACGGTCGAACGCACTCCGTTTCGTGGTGGCCGTTGGCCATTCGAAGAAATGGCACTGCTAAATTCAATGTTCGAGACAAATTACATAACGAGATTTAAGTAGCTGCTCGCGTAACCCTTGACGACGGCAGTATTTCCCCTCCGAAATTCTTTCCCTGTACCATTGATCGGTCACCTCTACCATCAAGCTGGCCATAGGACCAAACGCAGTAGACACTTTACGCAGCGGCAGCATTATCTTCCAATGCTTTTCAGTGAGCTAGAGCTACACCTTTTTTTGATAGAGTATCCATTCCATAAATGAAACAAGTACACCCTAGGCATTGTAGCGGCTTGACTATCTTTCTATTAGCGTTAGCACGTTGATGTTATCGTTACTCTGGCACAAAGCGAGAAAGGCGGTCGGACGACCACAGACCACGGCCCGCTGCTGTTACAGCCAGTCGTATCGTTGTAGAAACATTTTCATGGGCTGACTTTTTGTAAAAAGAGAATCCTGTCGTTGTGAGAATAACCCAGTCAAATAGTTAACGGAATGTGAATGCTACCGCTCTACGTAAATCGGAAGAGGCTGCGGCCGTTAGATGCTTCCGCCGTGATAATTATGACCGCAGATTGGGTCGATTGCTGTTGTAAGGATTGCCCGAGTTGGTATCTGTCCACGGCAGCTATAACTGCCGTTGCGGATTCACTTTTTAGTCTGACAATAGCCTCGTGCGGATCGCCTGTCGTCATTACCTCGTTCCTTCCACAGTCCAATGGTTGTCTGTTTGAATCCTTTATTAGCATATGCTACATGCGTTCGCTCGGTGTCGCCACGGTTTTTTGTCGCTTCCTTTATGACGGCTCGATCGTAGCGCACTTTTTTCAAATAAAGTTCTTATCTAAAATCATTTACTTTACCACGATATTGTATACTTTAATTTTCCATATATATATATATATATATATAGAGCGCCTTGTTTCGTTGATGCAACAGTCGTACTCGTTATGGCTGGAAATGAAACCGTTGAAATATGGGCGCAATTACCGACCTGGTTTTGTAGGTGAAACGTCGTACCTTCAAAAGCTTGCAGAAGGATTTGGCCGGTTTTTTTTGGGAAAAATTGCAAGACAGTTCGGTGTTTAGCCGCTTTCGCCATTTCGACGAAGATTTTGCATTTGACTCTAATCGAAATCTACCATGGTTTGTAATATCTATCTATCATGGTTTTGTAATATTGATACCGTGATGTTATTTAGTATATATTGTTCGCTGGAAATATTAGCGTAGTAATTCTTGTAGAGACAGGTTATTATATTTACTGTGTGTTTCACGTCTTTGAATGCTCGATAATAATTATCGCTATTAGTAACTAGGACGCCTATCATTTGTTTACTTCAGTATGTTAACATTGCTCTATGTTGGACTTCAGGTTGGTGATTGAAGGTAAATGACGCACCGCTCGCTGGACATGCGTCTGATATCTCGCTGTAAATCAGCAATCTGGCTTCGTTAGAAATGGTCTGATAACGCACCAGCGGGACGTGACTATGCGTTGATCCTCTCAAGGCTTCCCTTAAATTAGGACAAAGTTGGAATTAATGGCGATTGCCTTGGGAATATGAAGGCTGACTTATGCACCAGTCGTCAATTAGGACAGTGGACGCGCTGAAGCAATTTGTCAGCTATTTAGGATTTATTTTAGGAAGATACGGGCAGTGGAACAACCACGCACCGACATTAGTACACAAGCACACGTGTTTGTGAAACCACACATAGACAATGCAATGTTTAAGTAGTTCTAGTGGGCACCAATAAGCTACGTAAGTGAAGGACGCACTCGTAGTAGTAGGCCCTTGATAGCCGAGTGAACAGATAACAGATACAAACCGAACCGACTGATATACGAATTGTCAGCGGACTCAGCTTGACATAGTCCTGAGAGTAGAAATACTACTAGTGGCGTAAAGTAAGCGATTCGTCTATGTCATATATTTTAGGCTGACCTAGACAGCAACCATTTCAACAAGTTCAGTTTGTACATGCATCGCTATTGGTCATTCGATAAGAAACTAGAAATAGCAGCAGACAGATATTAGATTTATCTAGATTGTTCTGCTGATAGCCATCTAAGAAATTAGTCTTTTCTGAACAGGAGAATAGTTTCTAAATGAAACTTCTTTTTTCCTTCCACACTTTCAGGGAAGCATGTCTATTGTGATCTGTGATGATCTCCGGAGCTAAAGTTTGCTGCAAGAAGAAGCGGTTTTCGCCTTGACAACGCTATAGTGTTGAACTCGGGTTGTTTACCGCGAATGAGCTAATCCGTAGTTCCATCTCTTCGCCTACGAGCATCGTCTGCACCAGATACGATAACTCAGGCATTCTGCCGACAAAATAATCAGTTATCCTGTCTGTGTCCTGGGTATCTAAGCGAACATCTGTTTTGTCGCGGTAAGTTCGTACGATTAGAGAACAACGGCGACGGTGACGTCGTCGTCGTCGTCGTCGTCTCATTGTTCGTTGCTGTAGAGCGCTGAGGGACACTAGGGTGCGTGCTGGAATTCGGAGGTTAGGCGATGATACGATGACAAGAGGCGGCCTTACCCTAAGGTCGCCTGCGTCCGCGCTTGGAGCGACCCAATCCTCGCTGCCTACACCAGCCGCTGGTGGTGGGTGGCAACCGGTACCTTCATCTCAGTTGACACTTGACAGTGGCGTGGGAGTATCGATATCCCTTACCTCTGCAGGTTGGGAGGGTAGCGGTGGTGCGATATCATCATCATCATCATCATCATCATCGGCGAGAATATGCTGCCGCTCGAGTGAATCGCTTACATCAGTCTCAAGTCCAATTCAAGATCTGGGTTATCGTTTCAAAGCTTTAGGAGTGGAACAGCCTCTATCCGCTTCACACGTCATCGCTGAGCAAATCTTCCAAAGACATCTCAGTCAAGGTGTGTTCTTTATTTGGCTGAAACGATCGGCTAATTCAGTCGAGGAAGCTCGTGCTTTTAACTGTCCTCCATAGCTGGAAGATTCTATAGTCCAAAAATTGAAACTCCCGAACACGAGACCACTATTTCGTATGCGCTAGAAATGGTTCGTTAACACAATCTCTGAAAATGGAAAAAATACATGAAAAAAATACAAGAATGTAAAAATATGTATACTGATATAGTACAGTATTTCTCCATAGTGTCGCTAAGTAACATCGTCTTTTTATCCGCTTGAAAGCCAATGGTTAGCGTAACATTTGCAAGTCACTATCTCCTTTTTAGTACGTTTTAAAATTGAATTGCCTACCTTTATTTGAGCAGTAATCCGGCTATGAAAAGTGTTTATATCATGTCACTAAACGACCTGTAACACACTGTGTGAATAGACAAGACTTAGGGCTCCTGACGATTTGGCTATCATCATTTGATTATTGAAGTTGCCCTTGAAATTAAGCGAACATAGGTTTCGTAAGCGATTTGTGTCATTAAAGTTTGTATGCATCAAAAATATCCTTGAGCACATAAAGATTCATTGTGACCAATGATTGCCATAGATGTCACATGCGCAGAGGTCTTAATTATCTAAGAGGAAGATAAAAAGAGGCTAAAGGCTGGCATTGCATTTTGACGGCGCGCAAGTAAGCCGTTGTTCACTCTATGATTAAGTAGCCTTTAAAAGTTAGATCATTTATAGCCTAAAATGAGTAGCAGAAGTTGGAGTATTTAAAGGTAACTGGTGAACGAAATGATGGCGCTAAGGTAGAAGAAAATTTCCGCAAAAAAGCTTGACACGAAAAGGCTTGTGTACGGTATAAGAACCGATTTTTTATACGTACACTCATTAATAACTATAGACGAATTGATCAGAAAATATATCTGTTACGATTCGTTGAATAATGATCAGATATATCTATCTGTCCGATCTTAATTGTGGAGTACGTCTCAATAAACCTTTAAAAAATCTTGGGAAGTTTCAATGTTACCGAAAGTTACGTTTCAACTGAGTTTTAACTGTTTGAGCAGAATAAACACAATAGGCGACATTAGTCAAATGAAGCACAGCCAATAAATAAAATTTAGGTCGAAGAATTCTAATGACAGTGTCGTGCTGAATCGCAGATATCTTTGATGTAGGGTCCGCTATGTGATAAGGATATTTTGATATCGATCGCATCTTCTAGGATGAAATTATATCAAGACGGAAAAGTGTCAGGGGCACTTGTTGTAGCCTCGTATTAGGATTGCTGCTGCTGAGATAAGACGTTTGCTAAAAACTAGATTTTTACCGAAGCGGTGCTTATGAGAGAAATATACCAGCTTTTAGCATACAATGACGCTTTTTCCGTTCACGTTGCCTTCTTCCGCGTCTTATACTGTCAATTTCTTCAGGACAATTGCGCGTAGCAGGCTAATAATGGTGACCTGGTGATGTAGACTTTTCGCAGAGCAGATCATAGTACGATTTAGATATAGCTAGATGTCCGCTTTTCTGCACTATAACCAGATACAGAAAGAAAGTTAAAAAAAAAACGCGTATAAAAGCAAAGATACTCATCAGATAAGTAATAGGCCCATGTCTTGTCAATTTTTATTCTTTGGTCTTGGTTTTATACGCGTATTGTTTCGGCAGTGTATCCACAAGCAGTAAATTGGCCTTCATCATTTGCTGTCGGTCTCTTAGGTGAAATTTATCGAATAAATACGGTACAAACTGTAGATGCGTATAATACGATACATTTTTTTTGTTTGCATACAATTTTTTCGCAGGTTCAGCTTATCCAAGCGGACTCCCTCTGTCTGCCATGCTAGCTGGAGCTGGTGACCCTTCAAATGGGGACGCCAACGCGTCGATATGCGTTGGGGGCTGTGGTGGCAATGGTGAATGCCTTTCGGGTGTGTGCTACTGCAAGGTCGAGTTTGCCGGCGGCACTTGTCAGGAACCTAACCTCTCATTCTATATTGCTTTTTCGACGATCTTCTATACGATCTGCGCAATCAGTTTCGTCCAGCTGGCGATATGCATTCGCTGTGAGTTCCAGCGACATCATAGCTCCACCTCTGGGACGAATCGACTGACGCGAGCCTTACGTCTAACGACCCAGAAAGCGCTGTATGGACTGATCTGTGTCGCCACTGCTCTACGAGGTTTCTACTTTTCGAGTCCGGACAACGCAGAGCTGAAGTGGGCTAAAAGTCTTTTGTCGGCATATTATCCCGTGCTTTTGACAGGTGTGTGTGTTCGCTTGAAATAACTATGATGCTTTTTATCTTCTACTTATCACGGATTTCAGTGTATATAGACAAGAATGTGTCTGTGTATGAATGTGTGATACGCCGGGTTTTTCTTCTTATTATTTATGAACAAAACAAGTTGCTTGCATTCTCGATCGGTTTTTGTACGATTTATTTTTTCTACGTTATTCATCCATTTACATCAATCAGCGAATAGCTCTGCGAATGTCGTATCTATTTTCAGTGGGAATAATGGGTCACGTCATTTCCTGTCAAAGAGTTATGTGACTGAGCAAATTTATAAAATAAATTTTTTTCAGTCCTCGTTTGAGGTCTGTTAGACCTAATCCAATGAGATTTGATTTCTACGAGCTTTCACGTCACTTCAACTAGACGTTTGCTTTTCCTGCGCTTATTTCTGAAATTAAGCTAGTATGGAAACTGGGTTGATTTTTTCTCCTGCTGTATCATTATTACTGTTATTATAATTTTATTGAAATACCGGAGATTCTTCTCTGCGTTTTCCAGCGTTTGGAGTAGCCAGCATCATCAACACAATAGGCACTGGTACGCGGATGAACAGGTCGAGGTAGAATAAATTTATGACAGAACGAGTAGATAGATTAGATGGATTGTCAGTTGGTTGTTTGGTGAGTGCTGAATAGTTGAAGGTCGAGCTGAGTTAGATAGAAGAAGTTCATCGAAACAGAACTAATGCAGACTAATAATAACGAGGACAATGTTCGTTGTCTTAATAGTAAACCTGTATTTGTTTGTGTCTATTTAAACTGAGACAATTGTTGTGATGATATACATATTAGAACTGCAGCAATTGGTCCAGTCGATTGCCCCAATGTACTGTTTGACTAAATTATAAAGTATCGCAGACTAGGTAATCATCATTCGTGATTCTGGAGCAGAAACAACAGTAAACATCATAAGAGCATTATGACATGTCCAGAATACCACTCGTAGGCGCTCTTGAACCTATTAGCTCGTGAACATCAATTTTGCCACTGCCTACGTGTGCATGTACGTGTGCTTTATGTCTACCGTGTACCTACGTATATATGTATCTGATAGTCCTAATGTTCATCATACTTACAACACTGTGGCCTCCATTATTGTACCCTTCGTAACCAAATGGAATTAAATGCTACACGGTACATAAGCTTGATCAGCCTAATTTTATCTTTTTAGAGTCGTCCTGCTCTTAATCTCTCTTAGCCTAAGTGAAGGCAAACGTGAGCGCAAAATGACAATCGTAGCCACTGGTTTAGTAATCGTTCTAGCTTGCCTTCTTGCTTCATTTTCCTTTGAGTTCGATCCTAACCCTACTAGTTTTTTCGCTTTGTCAGAAAGTTTGTCGACATATTCCTTCCTACCAGCGCGTTGCTTTCTGTCCTTTTTTTCTAAACGGTCCTATTTAATTTAACGGTGCTTGCTGATGGCGACAGCGTTAGTGGCCCGTAAGTCTCTTGTGTGTTTTTGTTCCTCATATGAAAATGAGCAATCTTATACATCATCATATATAGTATTTATGTGGTGGCCACGTTCCCGCGACGGTAGACCGTTAGTTACTACTGTAAGTAATGGCTTCGTTGAGTTTTGAAATAATCCTGCTTTTTCTAGCGCACCAGCTACTCTCGCGTTGATTGCTGTTAAATTGTCGAGTGACATTAAACCAATGTTTATGGAAATAACGAAATTACTAATGACATTGGCGCCATCATCGGCGCCTGCTCACGTGTGTCCAAGGATAACCTAACACGAAGCAGCTGGGATAGCTGATGGTCACTGGAGGTGTCTGCTGATCACATGAGCCATCATGATAGGGGGATATTCCCGAAAAGTTGTCGAAGATCTTTCTACAAGAAGTCTGCAAAGTATTTGGAGGGTCGTAACTGCTAGGAAACAGTTTCTTTTCACGACTAACGATTCGTTTGAAGTAATCGTAACTCTATTGTAATTTAGAAAAAAAAAGCCAAAGTGGTAGTCTAGTTATACCTACATTATTAAATCTATTCCGCATTTCTTGGTCTTTCTGTGTATCGACAGTTTATAGCCTATCGTCCTGGCTTTGTTCAGTTATTGGCGGCTGGCTGGTAAAAATAGATAGGTTTGAAGTGTGTTAGAGAATTACACTGAATATCTGTCTGGTTCTTGATAAAACAAATTATCAATATTTTAGCAATTATTCAAATAATCAACTCCAATTTGAACCAGTGCACCGTTGTTTTTTAAATTCTGGTTATTTTATATTAATTAAAAATGATAAGTAAAAAAATAATGCAATTAAATTCTATAAAGGAATTTATTAAAGCCACTTATTTATTGTTCAAAGCTGAAATCGCTGATACATTCTTAGGAGAACCATCCATTAAGAAATACTGGAAAATTAATTTTATATTATATAAATTTGTTTCGGAAGTGGAACTTGCGATTACGTAACCCTTCGATGTTTAATGAATTCGAAAATGAAATTCCAGCATGAGCGAACAGCTTCCTGGAGTTGTTCCTGCGTAAGCAAAAAGCATGTGCTTGTTTATTTCAGAAATGTCTGATGTTTGATCTTGTGATTCTATCAATTTTTTTACATATTATGGTGCTTTTGTTGCTATTTTCAAAAAATGCTATTCCCTTCGAGAGATCCGTGACGTTATATGAAGCAAACCAGAATTAAACAACGCTTTGTCGTGATGTCCTACTATGCAGGACTCATTCGGGGCTGTCACGTCTTGGGTCTACCATGGCGTCATTAGTGGTCAAGTGTGTCTGTTCCGTAAACACGGTCTATCGTTCCGATCGAATTATTACTTCCCCGACATATTCGCCTAAAACGTATGACTTTTGAATAAAACGAACTATCTGGATAGGTATAAAGATGACTGGACTTTTGCATGACTTACGGCCATTCGTAGGCGCAGGAAATCAATATATATATATTACAAACTTTTCAGCTAGTATTTATTTTGCAGCTTAACGTACATTAACATTCGGCTTTCAGTGAGCTCACACTTTTTCTTGGCTTTATGTGTATGTATACGGAGTGCAGTTCTAGCGTAGTCCTGATCATAGTTTGTTGTTTGCATTTGTAACATTTGTTTGCACCACTATATAGAAGCTAAAAGTAAGGGTTTCATTTTTATTTAAAGGTATTTTTTATCTTTATAGGTATCATATTTAAAGCTTCACTGCATTGGCAGACTTCAGCATGTAAAATGAAGTTTGCATATACAATGTGATTTAAGCGTACGGTACTTGCTCGCTGTGAAAAACATTTTACAAAGAAACTAATTACGTCTTACTTAATGGAGTTTATTACTCAACTACGGAACTTATCTGACGAGCCCTAGCCCAATCTACGGCATAGATGCACTGTGGGAACAATTCTGCTATTACCCCCACTTTAATGAATTAAAGTTAAATATGCTGCATATGGTATAATGTTGAAGACAAGATATGAAAAATTTGTTATGGTCATGTTTTATTATTTGGAAAGGCAGTCTCGGCATTCAGGTTCAGGAGTATTTGGGTATTAGACTTCTACACGCAGTTTTACTCATATTTTACCGCCTGATGCCAGAGTAATATAATCTGTCGCAAACTGTCATTTTTTTTTTAGCCCAATTTTTAAAAACGGAGACACTATATATAAAGAGGGTCAAGAGAATTAGCCTTGCCCAGTTTAGCATATAAAAAGTAAACTAGAAAAAGACCCGCTGACTACCCTTGCGAAGGCTAAAAGACACTTTTCTGCTAATTAAAAGAACGCCTTTCATGCCGATAGCATCACACTGTGAGATAGTAGTTTTCTTCGAACCTCAACCTGATGAACCTAAACTTCTTAGAAGATAGAAGCCTCTCTTGGTTACATTCCCCTATATTCAATTGATCTTAGATATGTTTTCTAACGTAGTTTATATATATGAGTGCGTGACGTATTGTTTGCATTGCTGTGAACGGTAGGAACAACCGAGCTCAGCTTAACTTTTCATAGCGTTTGAGTTGTTATACAAAACCCATCAGGTGAGCTACAAGTCTGTAGTCGTACTAACCTGGCGTATTTTCTAGCGTTTCTGGCAGTTTACGTGACATCACGTTTATGGATTCGATATAGTCTACAAATTAGTATGCCGGCGGCCATGCGTGCTCCTGTGAGGCACTTCACGTTGATACGACGTCAATTCGTATTGCCACACCGCAACCGGTATAACTGACTTGGGCGTTGTTTTTGTTAGTCCATAGCCGCTGGCTGTTTTGCCTTCTCATATTTTTGAAGGCCTCGTGCATCGATGCTAAAAAACTACGACAGTAATGGGTGCGCCGACGACGCATAGGAGTTCATGCTTAAAAGCGAAGCACATTCAATTCAAAATATCTCTCTCTGCAGGGTAATTTGATTATGGAAGAAAATGGTGGTCAAGTAACTTACCGAGGCATATGGACATCGACGTATTAGGTCTACGCAGAGTAGCTCTCAGGTAGAAGCCTTACGGTAGTATTTTACGTGTCGCCATTACATTCAATCAAAAATACGTATCAGTCAGTAACGATGAAGGTATACATCTGTCATAGCTTCAACAAGATTTTTGAATACTTTTGCTCTATTCTATTTCGTATTACTCTTGCGGGATTCACCTAGGTAATACTTTGACAGTAGTTTCAAATCCTATTATGGTTGTTATTGCTAATACAATTGCTACAAGATTACTCATACAAGGCTTAATTATAAATGTACTTGACCTACTCACATGGTGGCCTGCTTTTCGCGAAAATGTATGATGAATCGTGGCGGGTGACGTTTTAAACGATGTTAACTGTCCATGCTACAAAAGGAACTTCTGTTGGCCTCTGATATTTCTTCCTTTTCTTGTGCGACTTAATAATCGATTAAAGCAGATAAAAAAAATGTAGCACTATTTTTGTGATAAGAGCTGAAAAGATAAAACTAGACTAAGACTACATAATACATGCAAGCTTTTATAGGCACTATAACTTCGTCGAGATATAAAGCTTTATAGACTCGATCTAATATATTTTGACCTAATATATATCGAATTTACCCTTTATCGCTCGACCTTTACCAGCAAGAAACAGATTTGCGCTTCTCTGCAGACAAAGTTACTAATGCGAATGGGTGACAGTCTTTTGTGGATGATCGTTTCACTTTCATCACGTCATTAGTAGTTTAGAAAAAGATATTTTTTACTATACAAAATGGCTTTCTTCTTTGCATTATAATTATGTATGTATAAATAAAGTATGTAGCCATATGTTCTACGGAAAAGTAGCATGGTGACTTGGTGCAAAAATGGAATTTTGAGGAAGTTTTGTAGTATCATTGTTTCCGAAAGTTTTTGTCTACCAAACATTTCGATGTCACATATGTTGTAACGCTTTTGCTTTCAGGCTCATCATTGATTGTCTGCCTTTGGGCGGAGCTGTTCCACGTGCGGGATGCCCGTCTTGACCCTCCAGGCTTTCTCACCAAAAGCCTTCTCGGATTTATGGTCTTCAACTTCGTCACATATGCGCTTTTATTTCTGGAGATGGTCTCATCACAATACGCAGGTGAGTGTACCCGTGGCATCGTGACGTTTTCGCCAAGCTATCTATTTGATAATATAATCGAAGTAATATACGTTCGGTTATGAATGAAATATGCATTTAGTAAGGGCAGGTCAACTGCCATATAGGAACGGAGCGAGTGGCTACAGACTGCCGGTTCCTGCTAGCGTAGCTTGGCTTCATCATAGCGGTGGGATATTGTTGATACTCGCAATACGTATCGATCGATCGTTTGCACAGTCAGACGGAATCATCGAAGTTTGCGTTCGATAAAATCTTGCCCAAGGGGTGGGTCAGTGAACGCAAAAATTTTCTCACAGCTGAAGTCGAGACACTTACGACGCTCGAGGCGGTGCTTCAAGGGAATTCAATTTGATTACAGCTTGGACAAATCGCAGCGTTTTTGCGCCATCTGCGCCCAGGACTCGTCGTAAAACAAGCCATCTTGAAGATGCTATGCTGCAACAGTTGTAGATCAGCTGTTATGTAGGTGTTGACCGAGCTGTTTAAAAGTTACCGTTTTTGCCAGGTGCGTCAGTGCGTGCAGCGTGAAGTCAGTGCGTTCCGGTATATCCACGTTTGTTTTTTTGAACTTCGTTCAGGCAATACGTGTGTCCCTTTCAGTTGGTGTCAGGCATAATAAGCAAGGCTAAATTCTGCTATTTTACCATCTCAGAAAGTTTCTATGAAACACCAGCGAGCGAGGTGCGTCCCGTAATACCCGTTGGGCTGTGGACAACTTTTTGTGCCTGTCTCTGCATGAACGTATATTGTGTTATTCGCGTGAACTACAATAGACTGAATTGTCGCGGACTGAGGATTCAGCCCCAAGTCTGCTTTCATAAATATCATCCCTACTGTTAGATTCTGTATCTATGCTTTGGCAGGCATATATACTAATATAGTAGTATTCTCGCTTTATAGAATTACAGCTGAATTAAAAGAAAAAAAAAACCCTTTTATTCTATAAAACGTCTCTTCTAGCTATGGATGTTAAAGCTATGATTGTATCCTATACTTTTATGCCTTTGGACGGAAGCGTATTGACATGGCCGCTCCATGGCCGAGTACCTCCACCGCAGAGTCCTTATTTTGTCACTCAGCCAGCCGATGCAATGACAATTCTGACCGTTTTGAGGACGCAGCCTTCAATGGTCGCATTACAGCTATATTCGTCGTACGTGATTTACGTACGTTCTCTTAGTTCATTCTATTTCATTGCGGGTTTGTGTCCTCAACACGTACAATTCTTTCAGTGCTTATACTTTAAACTTAATGAGTCCGGATAGTGGGTGAAATTTCGATTTCTATGTACTTCGTTAGAATATTTATTCAAAAACAAACGCTCAATCTACGATCAGGTATCCTTTGAATATATGCGAAGTACATTCATATTATTACATTACATTATTATTACATGAAGAAACATTATTACAGTGACCTAATCCGTATACTGTTATCGAACTTTGTTAAGAGAGCCATATTCAGAAAATATGAGCCCCAAGCTCGAAGCTAAACACTGCTTCCAAGTACTTCCTAGACACACTTTCAGGTACTTTCTCGTACAATCTTATCTAGTCTTTCAACAAAAATTCGCCAACAGATGAAGAATTTACCTGATATTAAGACCTAATCTTTGCACGTAAACTGGCTTACCTCGAAGTATTGATCTTAAGCATAACAATGTGCCCTGTACTTTGACTGAGCTCATTGAGCTTTCTAGTGCTACCAGGGACGATACTTCGCGTAGAATCGCATGTGAAGTTTATAGCATTTAGCCGGCGTTTTCGATCCGAAATATCAATTTGCAATACACAACACTTCAAATAGAATTTTCTAAAAAAAGAGATACTATTTCAAGTTATTATATTAAAAATTTGGACTCAGCTCGCAAAAGCTTCCGACTGGTAATAGATAACGTCTAGATTTTAAGACCTTTGTTTCGAGGAAATTCGCAGAAATCCAACCTACCCCACTTTCTCATACACATTTTGATGAACGATTTTTTACGCAAAATCGAAAATGGATAGACTATATAACCGATAATGGTACAACTTCAGCGTATATACTAGACGCATGTCACTAAATGAGTGTTGGTTCATATCGTAGCCTGCATCTTCTCATATCAAACGCTTACGTTTTGATTTGATTCAGTGATACTGTCGAATCGATATCGTGTAATGGCTGCTACTTTTAAGAGTACGTTGGATTCTAATCCAACCGTTTTATGTTGGGAACCAGCGGTTCCGATGGTAAAACTTGAGACAGCTAACAGAGCTTTGGCCGCCTTTCATCTTATGTCTCCGGATGAAGAAAAAAACACTGCTTGCTAGCATGTAGCGAGCACAGCATGTATTGATAAACAAGCCAAATAACGATGCTAATTTTATCTGGCTCATGAGGAGCTCTGGAGATAACCTCGGGTTGAATTTCGACTGCCAGCTTGTGACCGCTCAGCATAAATCAGATTATATTTATACGTATTATCTCAATATACTATAACCATTGTACACAGCATAGTCTATTCATTTGTGGTGACGGTTTCGGCACTAGTCGGTAACAAATTGCTTTTTCTCCTGAAACCTCAGTTTTAACAATATTTTTCCTTGAATTTTTACTAACGCTATTTTCACTTAGTCTACGGCTACTCTCTAGTCTAACGGTTTGGCCTTGGCCAACGAGTAGTGGGGTTGCGGTATATTGAGCTTTGTCATCAAACGACTGTTCAAAGCCGCACTTTACTGTTAGGTTCGGATTTTCGAAACATCTGAGGCTTGTGCTATAGAGCTATTGTCAACGTGAATATAAGCAAACTTGTGATATATATGTTTATGGTTGCTATTAAGTACAGTTGAACATAGTATGATTTGCCTTACGACAACAAACAGTTAATATTCAGGAAAACTGGAAGTATGCCATTTATTAGACAAGCCAGATCGACTGTCGAGTTTTCCGCGTCTGAATTATTTGAATTTGAGTCCTAAATTTTATGTTCGCTAGTACCGTGAAGCATTGACTCAAATGGTTGGCCCTCAACGAAAACCGAAACATTTTTATGCCGTGGTAAAAACCTAGAGCGAGATATGTGGTCTAAACTTCAATAGATAAACACGCGGGGACACTGGGAATACAAGGGTGCTATTCATTATGGGATAGTAAGTAAGAGATAAAAATATGCACCATGGTCGCCCTAACAGGCACGGTAGGCAATTTTCGTGGCTTAACCATAACGATAAGCTACGTTTTATATCCTAGACCGTCTTACATTAGGCGTTACAAGGCGATGACAAAGCATTTTTATTAATAATAGAAATATGGAAACTCTAGAAATAGGAATGACACATAACTGAACATGTAAATCAGCCTATCAGGTGGCTGTAGATGACTATAGGTTGAGGTAGCAGTGGTCTTAAAACCGCTAGTCGCGGTCATCAATGGTGAGCTTTGAAAGTCTTCTGACCCTTCATTCATGATACGTCACCTAAAACATCGATATGAAAATTGGCAGGTAGCTGTTAGTTAGCAAATAAATGATTACACACGTAGCAGCAGATCAATTTGGCTGCTTTGTTTATAACAAGAAGAAATTAGCATTACAAACGTATACAAATATAATGATGTAATGATTTATAGTAGGTGAAACCTCGACTACCAACACGATCTATACAGCTACCTGGAAACGAGCTCAATTTATAACTATAGTAGTTACTCTCCGCTTAGATGTTTTCGTAGCATGTGACCATTTTTTGTCTACTTCATATTTAGAAAAGGAGCCATTTTTGTGTGTCTGCAGGTTACCATGAGGCGGAACGGGCTTTGCTGTTTCGAATATTCAACGGTTCATTTGCTATTCTAATGATGATTGTGGTCGTTGTTTTTCTCGTCTACGGCGTGGAGGTATTCATCAAAATTCGCGGAGCATTTCTCACAGCGCTTGGACCTCATACAGAAGTCAGCCACGTGCCAGACAGGTAGAATCACACTTCCCTGACAGAGCTTAACTTCCTAACAGATCGATGAATAAACTGATTTTAATTCTCCTGGAAAATCTGACATTTCTAACTATTATGGTGAAGCCATATCACCTCCAAACAGTTACCTACAGCTTATTAAGAGGCAATTTCAAATTGCTATGTATAAAGTGATTACACACGTAAATCAAATGCGATACACGGTGAGACGAGCCTCATTTCATCCACCGGCCAACTTTTCCCAACCCTGGGAAACTACATTACCCAGTCGGCAAATCTCCTTTCGAATATGTGTGTGTCTACAAGACATAAATTTACTATACGCAGATCACGTTCGAATTCGCTTTTTAGGTCACAACAACACCAAAGTCGCGTTGGGCTGGTCACATACGCCCTGCTGACGTTGGTGACGGCACTTTTCATCCTATCGGATATGACCGGTCCTTTGTGGAAACACCGGGTAGCACTCGTGTCCCGTAATATTTACGAGGTGTCGTTTCGCCTCATTGAGATAGGACTCGCGCTCTGGTTTCCATGCGTCCTCTGGAATTGTGTGCAGCCACAACAACTTTGGATATTGAACCCGAAACGACTGTTGATGCGTAAGCCTACTCAGATTCGAAGTTCCGCACCTGAGGATTTAACGAGATTCAGCGGCGGTACGTGTGTCATTAAACAATACCATGTTACCTCTATTATGTTAACTGTGATCGCATAATACGCAGGACGCGATATGATGGCGACACCACGTGCTGTGCCATTTTTCTACCGTATTTCCTACGATACTTATCGATAATTGTTTATGTCGACTCTGTAACATCTAGATTTTTCTTGTCATCAACTTTTCTATTATCATTGTAGATCTGGGCTCTGTGGAGCGGCTTGGTCCACCTGAGTGCTTCATATGCTACGATAGTGATCGACGCGATGCTGGACCTTTAATACGGCCCTGCAATTGTAGGGGTGATGTGTCAGTCGTCCACCATGACTGTCTCAAGACGTGGCTTGTCGAGAGTGCTGCTAGCTCGCAGTGCAGCCGATGCAAAGTCTGTAACGAAGAGGTAACTAATTGAGTAAACGATATTTATTTTCCACTAGTTATGATTCTAACACGCGATGGTATAAGGTGGTAGCATGCAACATTTGTTCTTTTTTGTTAGCACAACACATTATTCTTCAACACACTTCACTACATTGTCGCAACTCTGTTACTAGTAGTAACTTACAATTAAACTAACTTGAGTTCATGCGAAGTATAGCTGACTTTAGAAAGATCATAGACTAGTGCTCTTAAATTGCAACGTTGATTACAAGCTAACGGTGATGCATACAATGGTCTTTTCTTTTTTTTTTCAGTATGAGCTAGAACGCGGTGAAGTTTGGCTACCGTCGGGTTTGTCGACGATGAACTGGGTGCAGACGTGCTGTGTGGTTGCTCTTATGGGCTGCTCAGCAACAGCGGCCATTCTCGTCGTAAAACTGTATACGCACATTGCGCTCCGCTCACTATCAGTGGGGTTAGCCGTCATCGTGCAATATGTATGTCTACGGGTACTTGGGGTCGGAGTGCTGGCCGCGTACAAACGGGCCCGATTTTCAGCTGTAAGGATCATTTCGCGTAAACTGACACACGGTCGCGAAGCATCGGCCGCTCTCATGGCTGCTGCCAAAGAGGGTCCTCATTCCGTTGCCGCGGCGGTCAAACATGAACTCGCCGCTGTCCATCAAAATCAAAAGATACAGACGCAACAACAACAACAGCCAGGCAGTACTGTAAATACGTCGATGTAGATCAGTCAGGACAAACAGCCGTAAAGTAGCTAGGCCTTGCAGGCACAAAGCTAAAAATTGGCTAGGACCGACAAAAAATCGAATAGGAGACGTTCAAGTATGAAAGCAAGTTAGGTTTAACAACATTCGGACAATGATACGGTTGGAACGACAGCTAATGAAAAAAATCAATAAAATAGCGTAGTGTTTTTCCGGATGTCCTACTTGATACACTGTCTCGTTTTGCTGGCACGTTGCCTGCTGAAGCCTATCCATCTCTCTTTAAAAAAAGCAAAACATAAATTACGTCTATCGTAGACGGATGTCACCGGCGCTCACTACGAACTTCTTTGACCACTCCTAGTCGATAACGCTGACGGGATGTGTGGCAACCAGACTCGTTGCTGTCTGTATAATCTTACATGTATGATAATATCATAAAATCGCAAAGGAGAATGGAGAGCTTCAAGTTCCTTTTGTCCTTGTCCCTAAGCCCACTGTGTCGAAATTCATTGGCCCAGACGAACAAATTGCCAGACACGAACAATGCTGTTCACTTATTTATGGCAACTACTTGGCATCGCTAAATATTGGATAGATCGATGTTCGTAGATAGATGCGCGAAGAGGAGTAAACAGCTTCGAGAACGTCAGATCGCAGGCGATGACGGCGACTAACGAAGCAAATGGTAAATGATCAAAGCGACGTTTTGCTTAGCAGGATTGGCCGACTGGATAATCGGATTGGTCCTATTGGTCGTTTATTCGCTTGCCCTACTCTGAAGAAACAGCCACTTAGTTGGGAAGGAAATAAAAACAAGGAAACTGATGGGCGACTTTGGCTGACCAAGGAGAAACGTGAAGAGGGAAGGACGTCAGATTTGGTCAAGAACTTGCATAGAACTAGAACAGTTACGAATGACCAGCATTGATAATAACAAAGTAAAAAAGGTTGCGGACACAGGTAGAACCTGTGCGTCTCCATGCTTCAATAAGGAAAACAAAGCAGGAAAACGAAGATATCTTAGTCCTTGGGCCTTTTCCAGTATAAACTTTTCCATCGACCATGAAAACATCACGGCGATTTTATCGTAACCCACGTAAAATCAAACACTACGGTGAAAAGGAAGAACATTACTTATCGATTGACACCGTCGAGAAAGTGATTAAGAAAGCCGTCGTGGTTAGGGGGAATGAAAATTGGTCAAAATATCCGTAATATTAACTTACAACAAGTTACAAGAAGTAAATTTTGTCCAGCAGCAATGCTCCCATTTTGATTGACGATCAGAAAAGAGCAGACACCTTTTATTACTATTATTATCATCGTAGATATAAAAACTGTACAGTCAATATGTTTAGTTAATGTAGAGTATCGGGAATCAATGACTCGAAATAGCGTTAAGGACAGGCAAGATCGTCCTTTTTTGTCTTATGCAAAGAAAAGGTCATTCAAGAGATTTCATTTGCGATAATTGTTCGTTGAAATAATCGAAAAAAAGGGAAGCTTCTAGCTAAGTGAAATAAAAAGAAACTATGCTCGCTTGCGTTTTGTGTGACGAAGTTCAAATGGTGATAGATGACGTATTCACTAAACACGCGTAGTCTGCTCCTCGCGCAACAACCGCGTCAACAAATTGTATTGCTGACCAGGCTTAGTTGTGCAACAAACAGAAGATAAATTTAGAGAGCCGGCTTACAATAAATAATTCTACCTGGTATGATGATCTGAGGTGCCAAGATCAAACGTTGATTAAAGATATCCAAAAACTAGTTTATATACATACATAGTAGCGTAGGGTCATAGGTCGTGAAGGAGGTGTAACTGCAAACAGGAATGGACGGACAGGACACAGCGCATAAGGCGATAAATACACATTGTCACTGTGAAGACTAATAAGCCGATGCGCCGATTGAAGGATGTTCACTATAAGATTTTATATTATACCAATAGACTACCGATGTTTTACCCATTTAACACAGGTTTAACAGGAACTTCAACCATGAAGCGGAAGTGTAACTAAGTACTACCCGAATGTTAAAAGCCACGCCTAGATTGTACATATTTACATACAATATCCAGGTAAAACAGGAAAACTACATTGATTCGGAAAACCAGCTTTGTGCGAAAAGTAAAAATACATGTATATATCAATATATAGAGATTAAAGTGAAGATCGGTGACGAAAACGATTTTGTTCTGTAACAGACGTAAACATTTGTAGCACGAAAAAACAGCAAAAGAGAAAACAAAGGAGCAGGAATAATACAGGTTACGAAAATTAGTCCGAAAGACTACCGAAAATCCTATCTCCGAGGCGAAACCATCTAGATAAATGCAAAGGGAGAAAGGTAAATTCAACACCAGAAAAAATCTAGATAGGACATCCTATGAACACGGTCTTATTAGAAGGTACATCAAAAAGGGCAACGTGACATAACATACGCATACACACAAATGCAAGTAAAGTACTGACTGGCGTGCAACTGTGATTGTATCATTGATAATCATCAATGACCATAATAACAATGGTACCAATAACTTCAACAACTCACTCTTGATAATAAAATGTCGCCTATACGAATGGGGGATACTCAAACGATGTCATCGCGGTATCACTGTATGCATTATATATGTATGAGGATCGTGGCTGAGAGGGAGACCGAAGATAGTATTTGTTAAACACAACATGAGGGTAGTTTATGGACCGCCGAAAGGAGGCCCATAATCGGAAAAAAACGCAGAAGAAAACAGTTGAAGTTGTGGATGTTAGAGGAGAGAAACCACTGTTAGTGTAGAATTGATAAGATTGGACTACTATTATTTAGTCTGCCCCAAACCTGTTTTAAAGAAATGTCTATTTCTATAACTGTAGTCGTTCGCCTAATTCCAACTGCTCATTTATGTAGACAGGGTAGCTACATAGCATAGCGTCATGGTACAACACTGATTCAGGTTTGCCGAAAAGATATCTCTCAAAAGGTTTTCGTTTCTATCTTATACTGAAAATAGGAAGCATAGCGGCGATTACTATCTTTCAGAAATAGTTGTACTATTAGCACGTATCGAATACAACCTAACGCATGTATAATTGCCAGTGGTATTTGTCCGCCTATCACACAAAGGTCTCTTTTAAGTTCCGATGAATTTGACATCGGCACAATGCCGTCTCGCCCCACGAATGTCTTATTAGACATAGCCCCGTAACAGACTTATCCAAACAACGGTCAGGCAACAAAAAGGCAGCGTATCGGCCTTGGCCTTCACCGTATTGACTCTGTTACAGAGACGTCATTTGGATAAATCGGCCCAGCGAACAAGGCCAAGATGGCGGGGCGTCGTGGAGAGACAGCTGGAATTGTTATATGTATTAAGCAATCAAATGTATAACCACAAATCGTTCCCAATGATAGTAGAAGCAGCAGCAAGAAGAAATGTAAAAAGAATATTTCTGCATCTGCACTTTTTGTGAGCCACACAGACGGTCGTGATCGAACGTTGAGCAGGTGGCCAGACACTGCAAGCAGAGTTCACGTATAAGCATATAGAGAATAGGGAATGTAAGAAGGGTGTAGTGAGTGATCGTGATAATACGGAAAACTCTGTTATTATTCATTATGTAGAAAATGTGAAGCACCCACAATCGAGGAACGGATGACGGGGCGCTGTGCGCTTCGTTCAGCAATCATGTAAAAACAATATATATTAAAACAAATGACGCTGGTGATGAGCGCGCCAGCGAAATGAACACATCTCATTTACTCTAATATTGAATGCGTCATTATTATCTAGTATAACATATATAAAAGCGTGCGATAGACCGTATTCTGCCAATAAACTCTAGGTCGCATTACACACTAGTGATGAACAGCTGAGATCACTAGAACGTAACTAGACTGCGAAGAATCGAAGAGCTAAGTTGAGAGGCTTTTTTTTCGGATTTTTATCATCTCGAATGAAATACATACCAATACAAAAAATCCGCCAATTATCTGAAAATGTTCCTTCTTTGCTAATATAAACATCGGTACCTTCGAGCAGTTTAAGTGCTCACGCGAACAAAGTCTTCCTTAAATAGCCAACTGGGTGGCTGACTTAATGGTATTGAGACAGCGACTGCTAGCAAAATGCAGTAGAAGCTTGTTTTCTAGATTAGAGCATGCTCGAGCACTACGTTGTGAAGGTTCAGAACTACGGTAGGGCGGATGAATTAGGAAAATTCGATTCCACGTTATGTGACTGTTACGTAACGCAGCTTCCACGCATCTATGCTAGAACTCTTATTGACAAAATTTGAGAACGGCAGTACCTTGAGAGTTGCATTTCTAGTTAGTTTTACTTTACAAAGTTACGTTTTCGTGCCGTCAGTTACTCGGCTCGGTGAAGAGTACGGATACGTTTTTCGTCGTCACGACCGGCCACAAAACCTACCTTTGCACTTTCGGAAACCGTAAAATGTATGTAGTTGTATCGGCCTATCTTCTTATTTCTCAACTGTCATTTTAATATTAATTATTATTAAGTATAGTTATTAAGATTATTAGATAGCATAGCCGATGTCCCAAACGTTTCTGGTAAAAGAAATGCTTGTCCTGTCTGGCAAATAAGGGCTGCGCATGTTATGCATTGACCCTGGAATACCCTAATCACCTGGAACAGTCCTAAAATAGTCCAATCTATCTGAAGTTCGATTGTATTTATTGATGACCTTTCATTAATACTCAACTTGGTTACAGCTGGAGCCGGTAGATCTAGGGATAAATTTTGGCAGTGATGTTTTTCGAAGTGATGGAATTAACATTGTTAGGCTGCGCTTACCTAAACTCTTACGCATTCGAAATTGGCCTATGCCATAAAATAAGCAATGCATTGAAAACTTTTCTTCGAGAGGCTATCGAAACGGCATTGTAAGGCTATTGTTCGACATTTTCCAATCTTTGTACTGGTTATCCCAGTAATACAGTGGGCATGCATACCGGAACCCAATGCATCCGTTCATAGAAATCCATCTACCCACCTTTGTGATTACTTCTGCTTTGTTGAACCTAAACCGCTTTTCAGCAAAGCTTTCTGCAGACACCTGTGGTAGTCAAGGTTGTCCGTGAGGTATTCCGTCTCATTTTTAGATGTATCTGTGTCACTATATTTCACCAACTGCCTAATGATTTTCAGTTTTCGTGTATTCTTTATATGAACTATATACTTTATATATAAATGAACCTTCGTTGCGTGGGGCTTTCTAAAATGCTAGTTGGTAAAGTTTTACAAACGAAATGAGAAATGTTAATAGCAAAAATGGATCTAACAGTTCCAGCTGAGATATAAGCGTATGAAATAATATTTTGTAAAAATGCGGGCTCTGATACACGACCCATGGGTCTGCTCCACACCTGCATCATAACTTCAGCTGTACCACCGATTTTGGTCATTTGTGCTGGCCGTCTTCTTCTCGACATCTATCAGTGTTCCGAGCGAGCTGAACTACACATGTCAGACTCAGATATACCTTAATCAATCTATGAACACTATTCTGATGGATTTCGCTAGTGCGATACAATACCTTAAGAGACGAAATTGATGTTTCATTTGTTTTTTTGGGACACAAATGCGGTGGGCAAAATTTACACGTCATACTTAAACGTCTATTTCGTTAGACATTTTCCGTCGCAAGTTCGTTAGAAATGCTAGTGAAGTTCTGTGTATGTTTAACTTGTGAGAACAAATCTATCTATTTATCTGTGTGTGTGAGAGCGTACCGGTGCTAGATATTTTGATCGAAAAATGCTACTAAGGACAAAAATAAACGGGGCAATGAAACTTTGTTTTTTGACTTGATTGCGGATTGAAACGTTGAAGAGTTTTTGATCAAGGCCAAATTCCTGTGGCCCAAATATTATCTCACTAAAATATAATAGGATTTGTAGGATAAATACTGATTCCGTAGTAAAAGCATCACTTAGACATGCACTTTGATCAGCTAAAAACACACACGAAAAAAGTGTTGTTGCTTTAACGCCCAAGCTTCTCGGATGTCTTCCGTACAACCACGCCTATTGTGAAAATACTGCGACAAAATAGTATCTTTAAACAACAGTGTCTTTAAGCGGATCGGTTATTTTTGTATATTATTATTTTGGATTAACCTTAAAGAAAGAAAAAAAAAACAGATGTGACGTGGTGTAGAAGTTAACTTTTTAACGTCTAGCTGAACAGCCTTATTACATTTGATGCTCTAATAGATTATATCAATCAATTATCTCTATTCAACGCTTTTTTACATCACGTTTCTTTCAAGCCCACTAAATGTCTATATTAACCGTGGTATGCTGATTGGCAAACTATGATTCAAATCCTTTTTTCATGCTACAGCCGAAGTGGTCAGCAGCATTTAAAAGAAAACGTCAATAATAAGAAAAAAAACGCAAGACCCGATACGGCCTAGACAGTGTTGCTTGTTGTTGTGTTATTAATGGGCCGTAATTGCCTTCTACTGTTAAGAGGATCCCGTAAAACGGAGAAAACAAATATGAACCAGACGGCCTCTAACTTTTTGCTGCTGCTATGGGCTGAAATCGTTTTTATTGCGTCGAAAGAATGTTTTTCTGACAAATTCAACTCTCTCGTCGGCGTATGCAATACGTGACTAAATGCGAACCACTGAAATCCTAATTAAAAGTACACAAGCCGTCGTCTATCAGAGCTCGATGGTGGGCCTCCGCTTTTATAGAACAATCGCCTATTTTGATTAAGCGTGTTTCTCAAATAATTCGACTGATCTCCTTGTCACTAACGGTTGCATGTAAACAGCAAACAGAAACTATGGAACAAGGATTGATTTTGAACGTGCGATTTTTCACAGACGTGGCCGGCATCAATCGAAGATATCTCAGTTTACTTCTATGTAATTGTCGCAGCTTACTATAGTCCTGATGGGATTATAGAAAGAATTCCGATAGCTGGTTATGATGTTTAAATTAAAGCTCTGATTCGTTTGAAGATTTTCAACTACTAACAAATTTACACTATAAGTTCAGGATGCCGATCGCCAGATATCTATGACTGATGCAGCAAGTAAGATCATCATCGAAAAAGTGCATTATATATGTAGGCTTATCTTCGATGGCTTCTCAATGTATGATAAGTACAGGGCGTATTTTAAATAGATTTCCAAGAGGGCTATACTATGAGGCTTGGACTCAATGTTTTATCAGGCTTTTTCGAGGCTTGTAAATCATACGGACCTTACATTTGAGGCTTTACAAATACAGAATTTGCAGAGCAATACAGAACAAGTCGGCAGCCGGGGCTTGTATACTGACATGGGCGGACATCTGCTACAACGCTGTAGTCGAAACATAATTTCTTCAAAAATGACCCTAGTTCAGCTCTACTCAATGCGACCATCAAAATTATAGTGCTGGGTGATATACGAGTAGTACCGAAAAAAAGGAAAGCTTTCTACACCAAATTATGATTTTTATTAATATTATAATTTTGAAAGACTCCCATGCCAATACACTGCCGTCATAGGCGTCAACTGGTTTGCCAATGACTTGCAGGCTGCGGAAGTATTAGACGTACTAGCCAAACAATATTATAACAAGTTCATCATTAATACTAAGAGGTTCCTGGACCATGATGTCATCCTCGGTTAATGGAATTTTGCTAGGAGCGATGCCTCATACGATTTCTATACGGTCTGTGCTAGTATCTCGTAGAAGCTGTAAGACTGTAGTGGTGATGCCGATTTTGTGCTTCGCAATATCGGACCCACGTTCGAAGTTGTGAGCTAGAGACTTTTGACTGCTTCGAAAACAGAGTGCCGTATTACATTTATGTACTATATATTAGCAAGCGATCGCCGCTGTTGAGTTACTTTCCATTAAAATCGTTCTCGGTATAACTCCTAGAAAATTCAACTGAATCACACTTTGTAGTAGCTTTTTCAAAAACATCTTATAATATATTTCTACACACGTTCAAAAACCGATCAGAAAACCGGTCATTCAGAGGTGTGTTTTGTTGCCCGCATTGGCATCTCGTCATCTTTTTGCTGAGAATTCAATTCGCTGGGTGGAGGTGATCAGGGGTCGAGTACCATTATAATTACTGAGCATAGCTCATCAGGTCTAGAGGGCCGTAACTCGCCTTCTACCT